GGGGGGGGCTTTCACGTGTCTGGGGGGTGAAATATGTTGGCTGGCTTCAATTTATTGTTTGGGAATTTATTAAATCCAGGATCCACTCCTGTAATTAATGATTGTTTCATTCCATTGTTGATTAATTTGTTCGATTAAATGATCAATCAATCAATTGTCACTTGATTAATTAACGCATCGATCCAATAATTGAGAGAAATTGTAATCAACTCGTTTTGTCGAAATATTTTTTTAAAACTCATTCATTGAATGTTCCAAGTGAATAATTAATTAATTTTAAGAATTCCGAGTTTTGTTATTTTCGAAAAGTCCTAGGTGAGAGGAATAAAAACTAAATTTTTTTTTACCATGAAAATGCTTTGTAAGTTGGCGATTCCAGATACGGTAGACGACTGATATGTTTCGTTAAATATTTAATCAATTAATTGTCACTTGATTAATTAATGAATGCATCCAATAATTGATATAAATGTTGTAATCAACTTACGTTGATGAAATATTTTTTTCAACCCTTTAATTAATGAGTTAATTAAATTTTTCAACTGAATAATTAAACGCAAATAGAGAATTATTTTTTCGAATGGAATAAAAAGTTTCGTTATTTCGGAATTATCTGCAATAGATTTTTTTCTAATCATTTTTATGTGTTTTTCTTTTTTCAGAGGTGAGAGGAATAAACACGAAAATGTTTTGAAAATGTGCACCGTGACCCGGAATATAAATTCTTTGGGCCAAGAACTTTATCACCAGCAGCTTCTAGTGCATTTTATCACACCACCAACTGTCGCACATCAGCGAGCCGTCTATCCTTCTCGGGGATAGCACCACGTGGTGCGGATGGGAGCGGTGAAGTGGGGAATTCTCGAAAGTGAATTAAAGTAAAGGAGAAACGCTTTTTCCGCGTTGACGTGAATTGAGTAAATTCCAAGGTGAAGGGATTAATCGCGATTTTAGGTTAATGAGCGTGAATTTTCGTTCGTTAGTTTGTTGAGAATACATTTGACTCATCCGCGAGTTGAATGCATTAGAAATTTCCAAGTCTTACCGGATATTTCAGTGAAATATTTTTAGTTGTGCAGTGTTGAAAACAAATTGGCTGAATGTTGGGAAAAGTCAATGGAATTTCAATTTTTTTTCTGAAAATTGAAGTAATGTTCTTTTTTTTAGCGACAAGGAGACGGAAATTCTGAAATTCACTTAAAAATTCGTTGGAATTTTCTTCCAAATTCCTGATTCTTCATTAATTTATCCGGAATAATTAAACTAAAATTTAGTTCCTCCAGATTTCTCTATGAAATTATGAATTTTCAATGACAAAATCCCTTGAAATTTCAGTAGAAAACTTTTATCAGTGAACAAAAAAAATATTGCCATTGATAATTGGAAAAAGTGCTCTGCCGGAGCCTGAGATATCGCGAAACAGATGGGTATCCGAAAGCGATAATTAATCACGTCGATTGATGAGAGATAAGTGAGAGGGATTAGTGTGAGAGCGGGAGAACAGGTGAATCGAGGGGTGCAAGAGGGAGAGAAAAATCCAAGAGAGAGTGGCACTCGCGTCTGCGCGTGGCTTTCAATCCCGCGCCCTCAAGGCGTTCGAGTGCTCCGAGGGGAGGAGGGAGACCCACTCGGCACTAGGTGCAACCTGTACATTTGGCCTCAGTCGGGATGCCGGTCGTGCACCCTCGTGACGTTCACTATCACCGGGATGATCGGTGAATCGAGTGTTACGGATATGAAGTCCGCGTGGATCATAATCACACTAACTATTGCCGGATGTGCATTTACGGAGATTCTACCCACAGCCGGTGAGTGATTCCTACAGAAAATAATTTTTAAAAATAATCAACAATTTTTTTTTCACAAAAAAAAATTGAAAATTCGGGAGAAAAAAATTTCAACTGAAAGAGATTTTTTAAAAACTCGTGAAGTGGAAAAATGGTTAAATTACTCGTGAAATTTTTTCAAATGAAAAAAAATTGTTGAACCAGTTGGTCTCTCCACCCCCACTGATTTCAAACTTTTCCCCTATTTGAGTGGACGAATTACCCGGTTTTTCGGGTGTTAAACTTCATTTTTTAAACGTAAAAAAATGTTAATTAAAAACTACTGCCTCGACAATTTTTCTTTTTCCTCTATTTTGCGGAATTGTTTCGGCGCAATTTTTTTAAAAGCAATCAACAATTTTTTGTCACCAAAAAAATTTTCAAACAAAAAATGTAAAGTGAAAGATAAATGTTTAAAACCCCGTAAAGGGACAAAATGATTAAAACACTCGTGAAATTTTTTCAACTGAAAAAAAAATTGTTGAATCAATTGTTCTCTCTGCCCCCACTGATTTCAAACTTTTCCCCTGTTTGAGTGAACGAATTACCCGGTTTTTCAGGTGTTGAACTTTATTTTTAAAACGCAAAAAATTTTCAATTAGAAACTACTGCATCAGAGTGAAAAAAAATTCCTCTATTTAGAAATTCTCGACAACTGTTCTTGTTCCGCTCTTTTTTCGCGCGAAACCTTTTAATGAAAATGCTACCCAGTCTGCCGAAGGATTTACCGTTTGATTGTCGAAGATCGATGAATCGCATGGATTCTCGTGGCACTGTGAATTCAAAGCCTTCCCACTGGGGCTCTAGTATACCATGTAAATTATACTCGTGGGACACGCAATTAAGCCTCGGGATTACCGTGCGTGACGTTTACCTCTCCCCCAGCCCCCACCGCCAGCCCGACGACCGCCCGATTGTCCGAAAAAGCGGACAATCCACTGAGTTCCCGAAAAAGTTTAATTTCAGTTGAAGTTCCTAGTGAATACCGAATCTCTGGACTGGAATTTGAATCTAAACTTTTTTTTATTTATTTTTGTTGAACTTTTTTTTTGGGCTTGTGCGTTTTTTATGCCGCCCTGTGGGGTACGGCAATCAACGAGCACACGAACAACGACTGGGGATGGGGAATTGAACAGAAAACGGATAAAAAAAATTATTTGAGATTATCGAATTAGTGTCAACAACATTTTCATGGGAATTTTTTGGGAATAAACTCGAGAGCGATTCATTTATTTTAATGAAAATGTTTTCATAACGTGGAATAAACGAATGATTTATTCAACCCCTTTTATTCATTCATTAAATCAATGATTTATTCGAGTGATAAAACTGTTTATTTGCAATTTTTGCGTTCATTTCAACCGAATTTCCGTTGCAATTCCATAAACTTCATCCATTCATTCATTCATTCATCCAAATGAAGGATTATTACATTTTGATGAAATTGTTTTCTTTGACATAGGAATAATGATTGAATTTCCATCTAAATTGAAATTGAATTTAATTCCATTAAATTGAATTAATTCCCTTGAATTTTTTCATCTTATTTTTTTGGCTTTTGAGTTGTTGTATCGCCCGGCGAAATACGGAATTGGGTGAGGACGAGAGGGTTGCGGGGTGAACGGTAGGTAACGAGGAGAACAACGACTGGGTTGGGGGGTCGGACAGGGGGCGGACAGCGGTTGTACCGTGTCTACACGCATCTGCACCATTGGCAGAAGGATTCTAACGAGAGATGATGCATTTGCATCAAATAAGACTATTTATTTAACATTTTTGCATTTATTTCACCAGAATTACATTCGCATTTAATGAGCTTGAATATATTATCATGACATGAAACGAATTAATGATTTGTTTGTTTATTTTTTGGACTTCTATTAATTTTCACGGAATAATTTCCTCAAAATTCACAGTTTCCACTGATTTCCCCCGAAATTTTGAATTTTCAGCGACAAAATCCCTTGAAGTTTCACCCAAAAAAAAACAATACACAACATAAATTCCTTGATTAATTGCTCTATTAAAAAAAATTGCGTATTCAAAAAATTAATGAACCCATCAAATTGCAAAGGTCCCCCCCTTAAAAAAATGTTCACAATCTCCCCTCTCCCCCAGTTAAAACACAAGCATTCCCTCATTTCTAAGAACACCCCCATCCGCCATCGTCCCTCATCAATTAAAAATCAATATATCCCCTTTGAACCCACCGCCAATTTTATTCTCAATTCTGGTGAAATATGACCGCATAAAAACCTCATGAAAGTCCCCCACAAGACTAGGAAAAAAACTTCCTCAAAAAAATGCTCTCGATAAGTTGAAGAAAGTTGGAAACAAAACCACAGGAAGTAATAAAACAAAATTTAAAAAGAACTTCAACTGGATTTTTATAATCCTCGTTATTCGCAATTATTCATGCTCCACCAGACGCTGGTACGAGATCCCCGCGAATAAATGGGGGTGGGGGAATGGTGGACTGCACTATGCACCGGGGGGGTTTGTGTTATTTCCCCCATCGAGTTCAATTGAAAATGCTTTTACCATTACCGTTGCAACGGCCGGGGTCTTCGAGTAATAATTCTGAGGAGAGAAGTGTCGGGCATAAGGGCATTGAAATACCGTAGCAGAGGTAAGCAACCGTTGCCCCTCGCAAACTGAAAGCTTTCTCGTATATTTTGTTTTATTTTATTTTTTTTTTCGCATTTCTCCTTTATCTTATTTCGCGCAGAAAAAGACTTCTACTTCTCGTCATCTCCAGCGCGTTCGAAAAAGCTGAGTGCATTTCCAATTTCAGGAATTGTCTTTCTGCCCCAGTGGCACCGTCCGGTGAAACGAGAATGACGCGAGAGCTCTTTATTTCACTCTCGATGTATTTGAAATGAATCGCGTGTGTTTAATTAAAAGTCTATAACGAGGGAAACTCGAGGATTCAACGGTTTCACATTTTTTAAATTGCAATTATGGGGGGGGGGAATTTTTTCACGAGTGAAAGTACTCGCGGGAGCGGAAATAAATGGAAAATTGGGGCAGGAGGAGGGGGAAATGAACGTATCGTGTAATTAAACAGTTTTTTGGTGTCTGTTAATTTGAGTAGTTGAGATTTTGTGAAGGGGGAGTGGGGAATGTGAATGCGAGGGGTTTTTCAAGGCCGATGATGCTGTAGGTTTATTGGGTAAATATCGCAGTTTATTTGGAGAGGGGAGATGAAGAAATTTTTGAGGATCATCGGGATGAAAAAAAAGGAAATATTGACGGAGAATGGGAGGTTGTGGGAATTTTTTTTACAGCAGATATTTTTATACGATATTTTTACAAGTCATTTCGTTTCGTAGGTTTAATTCCCTCGGAAACAATGAAAAAATGATCAAAATTATGAATTGTTAATCATTAATTATTGTTAAAAATGATTAAATTATTATTAATTTTGTGCATTCACCAATGAAATCATTGATAAATGCACAAAACTTTGAAATTCACCTTTTTTTCTCTGCCAGTTGAATCGTACATAATAGCGAATAATTTGGCTTATGAAAATGCAAAAGTAGAAAGACTTTTCCATTATATTTTCATTCTTTTACTTCGTCTTTCAATTTTCCATAATCAGATTATCGCTGAAGAATTTTTTACCCTCTTTACCGTCAATTTTTTTCCTCCCCTCGTTGGAAATTCAATCACTCGGGTTGAGTGAGAAACTTTCCTAATTTTAGATCTTTTACCGATACATAATACGACCCGGGGGAGTCCGCAGATGCACAGCCCGGTTTATTTACACCGACTGACGGGAAAATGGAATTTTCGAGTCCTTTGAATATCGACCGTTTCGGAATTTTATGATTTTTCCATGGGGTATATTTCCACTTTACTTTGCGCCCTATATTCGTCCCAATGGAATTACTTTGATCAAGGGCCTTTTGACAGGGAAAATGGATATTTTAATGCGATTGAATGTCAAATGGAAAGCATCACTGCGCGAAATCTGGCTTTTTGGGGGGAATAAAAAATTGAAAGTGCAAAAAACGTCAAAAAGTCGATAGAAGAGAAAAATTATTCCGCTGGCGAAAAATGCGGGGGCTAGGTAGGACTGATGGAGCCTCCGCAGAGTGTACCACGCTGTACCTGTCCTGCAGGCACTCGAATCGGGATTTATCAGGCCGCATTATCAGTTCAATACAGGATTTCGAGTGCTCTTGTGTCTCTCACTTGATCACACCGGGAATTTGTGACGAGTGATTCATCAATGTCAAGCGAATGAGATTTTTCCGGAGGCTAGGACAACTCATACAATGCAATTCGATGAATAAAGTCTTTGTTATCGCTCACAAAGCGTCATGAATAAGTTTCCATGGTATATTACATTCCATGGAAATTTTAAAATCGAAATTGAATTTCCAGTGCAATTTGAAATTTAATTATTCGTTTTCTCCTCAATCGCAAGAAAAAAAACCCGCACTTTTCTCTCCGAATCTTCATGAAATCCAAAAAATTCACGAATTCGTCTGCCAGCCCGTGTCACTCTCGGCGTTGCGTTGTGACAAGCTGGCGGCATTGTTTGTCCAAAGTTCGTTCCCCCTAACTCTCTCCTCTCTCCTCCGTCCGCAGTTATGCCATACCTCTGCCTTTCAATTTCAACTTGTTTCCACTCAACCCTCACCCAACACTATGAACACTACGATGAATCTGTTGGAGTAAGTCTCCGGTGGCTCAACTGTGCGCCACGAAAACTTCACTCGGTCGTTCAAATATTTAATTTAACTTCGAAATAGCATTCATTGTTACAGAGAACTAGGTATCGTATAAATCGTGCCATTTTACTTTTCCCAGGGCTGTCAGGTGCCAGACCCCTCTCTCCCTGCCACTTTCAGCTCTCAAGACTCGATTTTTTTTCCTCCCTTGCTCGGTCCTTTGATTATATCTCGGGGTAATTTATTATTTCAATTAAAAACATTCTTTAATCTCGGATAATTTCTTTTTTGTGGGTTATC